AATGTACTGTAAAATGATTTTTATTCTAACTGACAAAACGCGAATAAAAGGTGTTGCGAATAATTGTTTTACACTATTGAAAAAAAAAACATAAATAATGATAAATATCTTATGTCAATGGTCAAATGGAAAACATTTATTTTACATCCAGGAGTCAGAAATGAATATATAGATCTTAAACTGAAGGGAAAAAACTTCGAATAACAAAATATGCGATAATATTAAATTAGCTTATCGAGAATCTATGCATTGAGACGTTACGTTATTTACCCCAATTCCCAATTGAAAAAATACAGGACCCGTACCATAATAAGTCAATTAAGCCCTGTTTGATTAATTTATCTTGAACAAGCACCCACCCCAGTCCCTCTAAGCAGTTTTATATAATCTATTCTGGAGAGAGGGGAGTCAAAGATGGGTAATAAACAACGAGGGTTTATCACTAGATTAAAGGTTGAATTTATGTAAAATAAATGAAGGCAAGAATAGATAATTTTTTTAAGCGAACAAATGCCTGGGAAACTCATTTCTTTGAAATGCATAGTACACTACCCTGTGTCATTTATAAATACCCAGTTAGTTTTGTTTTGTTTTTGTTTTTTGTTTTGTTTTTTTTTATTTCGGCTGATTTGCACTGCTGGGTATTGTTTCACTTTCTGTAAATCAGAACCAAATTAGTGTATAGAAAAGCTAATGATTTGAGAAAAGTTTCAACGATATCATAACCTTAATAAATCGTAATATAGATAAGAAAGAAGATTAAGCTAAGTGCGAAATTGTTCTGATAATGATTAATTATACAAATATATGTAAAGTATAAGATAAAAGGGTGTTATTCCTTCAATTACATTCATGTGAGTTTTGTTTAAGGGAGCCGACTGGGGTTTTATTGTGTGAAAACTATTATAGAGAAACTCCTTAATTTTATACCATATGTACCTTACATTGACTCCAGTATATATGCCAAGTTTAGTGAAAATCTACCGTCTGCTTATTTTTTAGGGACCTTCTCAAAATACAGGTACATTAACTATAGGATTATATAGGAAAATACCATTTTTTCGCACTTCAGAACAAATTATACAAATGCTACTATAGACTTTTTGCTCAAATTATACTATTTGATGAGTAATACTACATTGTACATTTTATGCAAGAAACACATAATTCTACAGTCTGGCTGAGGGGGCATCTCAAAATGTCAATATTCATGATATGTCATTCATTGTCATTGCTTTAAAAGAATAAATACGCTTTATTTTACTATGCTGCGCGAAGTATTCCGCAATGAAAATCTCAGTCGGCCCCCTTAAGTGTTCCAACACGGTTCTAAATTCAATTTTCTGAGATTTATTATAAATATACAAGTTTATTTCGCGTGTAAGTCGAATCTTTCCAATATATATATATATATATATATATATATATATATATATATATATATATATATATATAAATCCAAAATTAACTAATATCTTAAGAAAACAGAATTTGTGAATTGAAACCTTTAAATTTGGATCATCTAATAAAATTTTCTGGCATTATTAAGACGCACCTGTCTCTTTAGTCTTTGAGGATTTCAGAGATAAGAGTCGATTGTATTGTAGTTGACTAAGCCCAAATCCTGAACTGCTAAGAATTTCTTAGCATGATGCAACCCTCGATGAGAAGGCCTTTTCGTTCTTGGCAAACCAAGAAATAGATGGGAGGGACTAAAACTTCGCGAACTTTCTTAGAAAGACGTGGAAACAGCTAGCAATGTCAGTTTCACTCGGAGAGCATAGTCGAATAACCGAGGGCTTTAGTTGAGCGATAGTCGAGTACTCACTAATATATTTTTTTCTAATGTCAGTTTTACCTTGTCCTGTTCAGACTGTTTGTGCTTCTGTCATTCTTCAGTACAAGTATTTACTTTAAAAATGCCTTTTCAAAATGTATCTGAATTTAAAAAAAAATTACTGCATATTTATTTTAAATACACTTTCAGATACTTTGGCTGTCATTTCTTGTAATTGATATAGATCACTCGAGGCCATTTAGACGTTTCTCCATCTCAATTGTCAGCCCATGCCTAATAGAGTTAATTAAAACATAAAAAGCGTGCGATGTCTTAATTATGCAATTTTGTTCAGAGAAGAAATCGAATTGCGAAATTAATTTTTAGACATCAAAAGAATTGTCAAATTATACACACCTACTTCCACAATTACAATAATGCTTAAGCATGTAATCATTCTTGTTTAAATCATTGATCCACAAAATTAGAGGAGTGTCTTAGCTTTAACATCAATAGACAAGCTGAAAAAATTTCACAATTTATTAACTTGAAGTTAAAATTAACATTAAAAAGGAAAATTTTAAAGAGTAACCGAGTAAAAAATATTTAGTCGATAGTCAGTATGACCGAGCGATGGTCGAGTACTAAAATACTCGTCGTCATCCTAAGAAACAGCTGCAGAGATTAATAGCAATAAAAAGAATTAAAAAAAAACTATGGGACGTGAAGGTGAAATAGTTAATTAAATATTTAATGATAACTTATGATTATTTATTTTATTTTTATAATTGAAAGAGGAACTCAATATCAAAAGAACTGCAACAAAAAGATTTCTTTGTCTCTTTCAATTTTTCCCGATCCCTTTTTGGAGTCGCTTAGTATATTACTTTAATGGATTTACTTACTCATGATCTTTTCTCCACCAAACAAATCGCGGGCTGAAAAGAGAGAGAGGGGGAGGGGGGTTCCTACATTAAATAACAATTTAGACCTGCCATACACGTACTGATAACACAGCTTGGTGTAATATCGTTGTAAATTGCAAAAGTCTTTCATTTATTTAACAAGAATCTGTTTAAGTTGTCTTCCTTGATCATTAAATGTAAGGTATGGCATATTTCAATCTGTCTTCATCAGACTTGGGAGTTTGTGCCATGTATTAAATTGACTCGACACCTAAGTGTATTAATGGCGAATGGATAGATTTGCACGGGGGTCTATGTGTATTTTTATTCGGTTTCACATTCATCAAATTAATCGTAATGCACGTGTGATAAAAAAAATAAATAATTACGTTACGATTTTCATGAACTCCAAATTGTATTCTGATTTTAATAGTGCAAGTTGATTGATCAATTAATTCGGACAAAGTAGCCATCATACAAATTCTGTAACAAATGATCATTTATTTGCATCATTAAATGATGATATATTACAGTGTTATAATTCTTGACAGAGGTAAATTCTTGAAGAATTTAATTTCAGTACTTCTTGAAAACGACTGTGGACATTTTAAAAGTATGAAATTAGAATTCAAAATGGAAACAAAGAATGTCTGTAAAAATATATAATAATCAGGATATGAAATGTATAAAACTGTGTTGGCTGATTGAACAGTAGAGAAGGGCGTCTTCTCTCAATAATTCGATTAATGATGGGCCAATTACTAGTGTATCATATAGATGCAAAAAATGAACAACACAAAAAATAATTCTAGAATGATAACAATTCGTGTGTATGCACGCATTTATTATTCTCCCCTGGACAAGAAGTGAAATGCGTCCTCTGTCCTCTGATTCCTAAAATTAGGACCGTCGCTGTAGCTCATTCGGTAGAGTGTTCGCTCCGTGATCGGAAGGTCGTGGGTTCGAGCCCCGGTCGCGACAGACCTAAGTCGATAGAAAAAAAGATAGGAACTGTTCCTTCGCCAAGCGCTTTGAAGTGAAAGTCGCGGGTCCTTCGGATGAGACCTTAAAAACCGAGGCCCCATTTCACGGAAGGCGTTGGCACGATAAAGATCCCTCCCTGCTCAATGGCCCTTAGTGTCGAGTAAAGGTGTAAATTTGAAGCCCTTCATCGGTTTATGGTGACGTCTCTATATGAGTGAAAAATTCTCGAATGAGACGTAAAACAACATATAATCAATCTGTCAATCCTAGATCCAGGTCAAGTTTGATTTACTTAATTTTTTACTTAATTTTTGGTAGGCAAAAATTAGGCAGTATTTCAGAGATCCTATTGAAATCAGTAAGCATGAAATATGTTTTCTGCTTATATTCTTGGCAATTCTGTCGAGTAAACATCACAATTTTTATGTTTATCAATATTATTCAGTTGTAAACTTTTGCTCGTCCATTTATTGTAAGAAGTATAGTTTCAATATGCGGACTCACACAGAGTGCACAATTGTTTGGACTACGTGCTCGTCAGTGTAATGAATCAGCATCCAATTTTACAAATGGCAAAAGATCTGTGCTTAGTTCATTTTTTAAAAAAATGAAGAAAAAAAAATAAGGCAAACTTGACAAAGATTTGGAAACACTGACCGATTTCAATGATTCAAAGTATCATGGTATAAATTGTCCAGAACATATGAATACATAACGTTTCTTTTTCTTCCCTGGTTTCATTGTCCTTTAATATACATGTAAAGCCTTTTACTGAAAAATTCAACGGCAACAATATGAAAATGATAACAATAATTATTCAAAATGTCAGAAATGCATTAAAAGGTTATGAATATTTTAGGGATTGCTTTAAAAAGAGTCGAGAAAATATTGTACACATTTTTATGTTATTTCAAAATTTTTAACTCCCGTTAATCTAGTTAATCCATAAAAAGTATATTTCGGTTCAACATTTTTTTTTTTTTTGCATGAGGCGAACTAGGGTACTGATTTACAAAAGAACTTATAAGTTCAAAATTTTTATTTTGTTCAAAACCCTTGCCAACTTAACAATTTTGCAAGATTATACTTATATAAATTAAATTTCGTCCCAGACATATATGTGCTAAATAATCAACATGTCTCAAGAAACTTGAAGAATTTGAATGTATAGCTCTAACGGAAAATATTTGTAGTAACACCAAACCTAAAACCAAACGATTTGCATAGTAGATGAGACAATTCATTAGGTTTTATAACGCAACCATGCATATCTGTCTGAAAACACTTACGTAATGGTTTTTCCATTTTTCATTTTGCAATAAGCAATAGGTATAAAATAAAGTATACAGTACTTGGATTATTGTAATTCAAAAAACATGGACTATTTTATGCTTTTATCTCTGGCCATTATATCAGGTAGGTGTGGTAACTATTATAATCATCTAACTTGCAAAGCAATTGATGACCAAATATTCTAGTATTTTACTAAGCATACTTAAATAGTAACAGTAGTGTATATTTATTATAGAGACATGTGTTAAACAAAATGAACAATCATGCATAAAAGTCATTAAAATACAAACACCTGGTCCGTTAGGCCTATACGTCACCTTAAAAGAATTATTATTACATGTATCTAGCTCTAATATACTTCCTGAGATCTAAATTTATTGAATTGCCCTTTTTTTTTTTTATCCGGGTGGAGGGTTTTTAAAATTTTAAATTCATTACAGTAGTCCATAATAAATATAATTTTAATTGAGATTTCTGCAATAAATACAGTCAATGATATGTCATTGTTGATTTGAGAAAGTACCGTGGATATCATAACAGCCCAGTAGATTATCAGAATCTGAACCATGGCGCAAATGAAAATCTCCAACAGTAAATAAATCAGCATGATCACTACTCACACAAGTCCAACTCTGTACATAAGAAACTCTGAGAATCTTTTCCATATGTATGCTTCATTAACTCCTTGGCCAGTTTGTTGGGTTAGGCTACAGTATGTTATGCATCCACACGGCAGGGGATACTCACTCCTCCATGGCACCTGTCCCGCCTCTGATGCCTTAGAGGTCCGTGTTTACTCTGCTCCTATTTTGTAATGTTTATCATCTCCACATATTCCATCCACCCTGAGTGATTCGATTGTGGCAGATAATGGAGTATTGCACGTGCATTGTTTTCAATAAGACGTTCAGCTTTATATAAATACATTCAGAACTACTGTCCCTTAAAGCAGAAATCAGACTTTCTGCCTTTAGCACAAGGTCTTCATTTTCATTGAAAGTTATACCACTGGTTACTATTATAATGTCATGGTTTTCTAACGGATTTGCATGGTCATTGGGAGAATTTACTGTCGTTGGTAATGTGTGATGGCTTTGTTCCTTTAGACTCTTTAAAAGGCTCTGTATTGAATGAATAGTGTTCAAAATTTCGTCAGTGCGACTGGTTTATTTAGAAATGTCAAAAATAATTCCTCTCCAAAGCCCTAATTTATTCAAACATTTGTTTCATGCTATCCTGGCTATTTTTTTAAATCAAACACCACACTCATTAACTTATCTACTTTGTCCGATATTGAAGCTCTTGTCATGAATTATTTTAGAGTCTGTAGCCGTTATTAGCCAAACTTAAAGAGAGAAATTTTTTGGTTTATTTATTCATGATCTTTTAAATTCGAAATTGATTTTTTGCAGAGATAAATGTATCGGCGGTTTGTATTATTTGTATTATTTATTATAATAAACATAATTTTGCTGCCATATACATGTAATAAAACCATTTCATGTCTTTGGATGCACACAAGCAAATATAATGTTTAGTTCTACTTTGGTTCTATTATCGACCATAAAAATACATCTTTTATCTTGAGATTTCACCCATGACCGATAAGGTTAGTTGGGATTCATTTCTCATATTAGAGCTGTGAATTTTGGGGTATGGGGAAATTAAAAATACTGATGTAAATCCTTTATTTTTTATTACAAAAAGTCTCGCCTGTTAATGAATTGGCAAATGAAACAAGTCTTAAGACAAAAATAAAGTGCAACAATAGGTTATTTTCTCTTTTTCTGTAACGCGCAAAAATTAATATAAAAACTGTAAAAAAATTTAACCATGTTACAAGAATAAAAAAAAAGCATAAATTAATACATATACCGATTATTTCGCTTTTTAAAAAATATTGTACAAAAATTATTGTCAGTGTTCATGATTTTATGAAACATGTTCTTTTTTTCCAAGTTTAGCATAAAATTACTATTTTGCAACAATAATGATTGCATGCGCACTTTGAAAAAAATTCTACTTCAATCTAAAACAGGTAAAATCAAATCAATCTCAAAAACTTAATGTCTTATTTGTTTCTTTAGTCTTGGCAATTAAAATTACATAATAACGCTTTAAAATTCGAATACTTGCTACAATCTATCTAAAACTGATAATTTAGAAATTAGGGAATTATTCACTTCTAACGATTTAATTTTATATTGTGAAAATCAGTGAGAGGTATAATCATACAATCGTATATAGGCCTATAAGACCCAGGCACCAGTGCGTTAGGTTTAAAACCTAATAACATTGGGCCTTTACTCAGTATTTCAGATGGAAACACTTTTAACTGTTCCCTGTAAGCCCTAATTAGTCGACTTTCAGGAGCTTAGGGGCTTTGTGGGCCCCCAACCGGACACCGACCCAATGGGGACCCCGGCGATACGCAGACCCCTTGCCATGTAATGCCCCATCCCCATCCTCACCCCTAACGCAAATCTTTGAATCGTGCCTATATGTGGCCACTCTTGTGGTTTGATATCCTTTAGTGACGAAATCCTTCGATCTGTATCATGTTTACATCGATTTTTGACTCAAATTCTATGCAAAAACGAAAGACCTACAAGAATTTCATAAAAGTATATTACGCTTTGCTAGTGCGCTGATATATTACAATGTTGACATGTAACTGAAATAGTTGCTGCAGAGTTTGTTTATGCAGCGCCACGGATGTTATGGCGGCTACTCTCTGCTACACCTATCGGAATAAAATTTTACTAAGGGGCAAAACTGAAAAATTCATAAATCTCGTTTTATGTCACTGAAAACTAAGAGGTAATGCCAATCATCTGATCAGAATTAAACACACATGCATGTTGATCATGTCATGGGATCTTTCTAATTCTTTGCGCTTCTGATTTATTGAAGAGAGAGGTATAAATAAATCTCATATTGCCTCTCAACTATATTATGTGAGATTTAAACATGCTCCTTGCTCTTTTAATCGATCTTGACAAAGTGCATAGGTCTTTTTCTTCAACTTTTATGTATCTCCCGGATGTAGAAAATATTAATACTTTTGTCTGTTTTACACAAATCATCTCTTTTTTTAAATTTCATTTAGGGACCCTTGGTCAAATTTGCAACTATTCCGGATTTACTGATTGTGTGTTGCAGCCATCTATACTAAATTATACGCAAAAGATAAGTTCGCCAAACTTTTTTAAAACACTAAATCCCCAAGACGCTGTAGATAAACATTGTAGGTAAGTGCATACAATTTTTTTTTTTTATTTATTGATTTTACTTGACAAAACTGCACACGTAAAATAATTGAAATCCTTTTGAAATGCTATTACTTCATTTGAAGTATGTGTATGTAAAATTCTCTTTTTTAATCTTTTTTCCGTTAATGCTCCAACAAAGTTTCTCAGGAAAAGCGTTCTATATCATAATCGATTTCTTTTTGCGAAGTTTTCAACGAAACAACCAAGTGCGTCATTCAATATTCATCATAGGGATGACCCTAACAATGTGTTTTTTCTTTTTGTTTGTAATGAACAGTTTCCAATGGAAGCTAGTGTCGTGTCTTCAGGATATGAAAAGATCATGTGTTTCAACAAACAGCCTCTCATTACCCTTTGACATGCTGATTTCTGCTGTGAAGTACCTGTGTACAGTAGGGAAACAAGGTACTGAGGTTCATGCATAGTGTTATTCTACATAATTTATAAACAGATTCCATTATACATAAATACTACTGCTATATTCAAATATAATCAAAAGTTAAAGAGGAAGATATCGCAAAACATTTTATAGCACATCCTAATGTTATGAGATACACCATAATCCTTCAAATCATCGACTATAGGTATTGATTTTTACCTTGCTCATGATCACTCAAGTAATGAAAAACAGAGATAGAAAAAAATAAAATGTTTTAATTGATGGAATAAATATCTTTTCTTCAACAGGATTCATTGATAACTTTCAATGTCTGATGAACAACTTTGTAGTGGATCGAACCAGTCTTCAGTCTTGTAAGAAATTCTTTCCAGAACTTATGGAAATAAAAAACCGCAAAACTGGTTCTGATGTTTCCAGTGAAAAATGCAGGTAATTTTTATACGAATATAGCAGAAAAAGCCCGTTTTTAAATAAAACATAAACAGGAAAAAACATATTAAGGCCCAAACATTCAATTCATTTAAAGGTTATTTGATAAAAAAAAATTATTGAAAATGAGTAAAGAATTTGATTTTTGAAATTTTTGAAACTTACATTCATTAAAATTAGGTTTAAAATGATATTTATATGAAATTCACAGAGTATTAGAGAAACTTTTGACCTGCATTGATAACAAGGCCAAAAATTTGTGTGGTGGCAAAGCAGCAACTTATATCCGTTCATATCTGGAAGCCTCGTTCAAACCACTGACTGAGGGCGTTACATGTAACAATAGTATGTATCTTTGCAAATCAAATAACGATAAGAAATGGTTTTCCTTAAAGTTATATACGTATGGCTTCTTCTCTTAAAGTGAAAGAGAATTTCACTCCCAAATACGACAGGCAATCTAGCGATGTTTGATATATTTGACAGCATATATTATTTGATAAAAATAAAGTTTGAATTTTCGTGAATGTTTCAGGATAATCTCTGAAGTACAGAAATATTGCTTTGAAATATAAAAGATAAAAAAGATTAAATTAAAAAAAAAACATTTCAAACATTTCGAGACCGAGGAGATTATTCTGCATCATTTACGAAAACTAAAGATTTATTTCTATTCTACTAACAACTCTAAAATAAGGTTGATCGCATTCTATATGAAAAAACGAATTGGGGCATCATGTTGCGATTAGGCTTTACCATTAATAATCAAGGGGTCAACTTGTTTGTTAACTTTATATCGATTGCAATGGAATGGAGACAAATTGAGCTTTCTTAGAATAAAATATTTTTAGTCGTTCATAAATTTGTTGTAAAACACATTTATTCATTTTTATGAAGGTAAAATAGCAAAATTAGTTGTCTTATGTTGTTCTATCAGTAAAATCATGTAAGGGTAAATGTGAGAATCGAGGTCTGTTTAACAATCCCTTTTAGCTCTATCATATGGTTTACCCAATAAACACTGTTTAGACTGCAGGGCGCTATACATCGATATTGTCTAATGAAATATGTGGAGATAACGAACAGTATTCCACGGCAACAGCTCAAAAGTCCATTAAACATAACAAAATAAGAACAGAGCAAACACGGACCTCTAAGACATCAGAGGTGGGATTTGGTGCCAGGAGAAGTGAGCATCTCCCTGCCGACAGGTCACACTCGCCGTGTACTCCTTGTCATGATTGGTAAATAACGGATAAAACCATCGACAATTCAGTGTGCATATCATGGCCTAAAATTAGTATGAAAAAAGTCAGTCAGCATTTAAATTAATGATAGATTGTATTTGCTGGTAAGGTCATTGTATCGACCATAGAATTATGAAATGATGACTTAAAACGAGACTGCTGATATTCTTTTTTCATCAACTTGTTAGTAAATAACTTACCTCGTTCTAGAAATTGTTCATCCTTAGAGCAAACTCTGGCGTATCTAATCAACTGAGAGATGTAAACCCCGTATGCAGGTGATAAGGGTATATTGCAGCATAAGTAATAAGGGAAGTTGACGATTGAATAGTTAAAGTCATCACGTTTATCATAAAGCTTTGTTGTTAGATTACCATTAACGTCTTTTTCAAGTAAAATATCCAAATATGAAACAGATGTGTCAGACTCTGTGGTATCTTTAATCTCAAACTCACAGGGATATATCGTGTCGACACTAAAATGGAAATAACTATTGTTAATTGACAATATGTCGTCAATATATCTAAATGTCGAGTTGAAGGCCACGGCAAGTATTTTCTTCTTTTCACGTAAAAGATTTTGAACAAATTCTGCTTCATATGAATATAAAAATAGGTCTGCTAATAACGGGGCGAAATTGGTACCCAATGGGAATTCCAATAGATTGTTGGAAGATTTTATCACCAAAAATTACATAAATATTGTCCATCAGAAACTCAAGCATCTTTTTAATGTCAACTTCAGAGTACTTATGTTTACAATCAGACTACCTATGTTTTACCTATGTGTTGATGACGAATGCAAATTAAATCAGGATCTCCCGATTAACCGAACCCCCTTCTACTAGTTAGGCTACCGTGACCGGTTTTTAGTTTATGAGATGCTAAATGAACTATTGTTATGACATTAACTATTGTTATTAAAATATTTTGACCAAAATAACCCTAGATTCAATTTATTTGAACAAATCAAATATATTTATGTTCCCTTGTTTGTATAATCTTGCCAAGAAGACTGAGCTGGTATATTGCTCAATAATTTCATTTAATATTTTCAGTAAAAATTAGTCTATATATTCTTTTTTTAGAGAAAAAGTCAGCATAATTGATATTAGTTCCTCCTAAAAAAATATATAAGGTCCTTTACTATTGACCGGCAAAGAGAATTTATTCCACACTTTTTAGTGATTTGATTCTGATAAGTAGTTTGATTTATTGTGATACCGTTGCGACTTCAGAAAAAACATGACGTCACAATAAAATAACAGGTTACACAACAATGGCCAGATTTGCTATCATTACAATGAAATTTCAAACAAAATTATTATTTTTTTTTGTTGTTGAAAATTTCTCTTGATAAATGCTTTCCTACTTAAAAATGTTTGGAGTATTTTATATCAAAGTAAAACATAATGATAGATTGATTGATTGTTTGTGTGTTGTTTATCGTCCCATTCGAGATTTTTCACTAATAATAGAGACATCTACTGTATTTTGGGAAGTGCTTAAATTTTTTACCTGTGCATAGCTCCTAGGAATCTCTATTGTGGCAACGCCTATTGTGACACGAGACCTCGATTTTTAAGCTCTCAACTGAAAGTCGTGTGAAACTTTCACTTACAATGCCGGGTGCTTTGCGAATGAACAGTCACTACGTTTGTAAACGTGGACCTCCTGATCATGAAGCGAACTCACAACCACTAGACTACCAGGACCGGTTATATAATGATAGAAAAACATGTCATATTAAGGGTGGCATACATTAACATTACATAAGCAAAATGTCATCAAAAACTTTTACGGGACTTTTTTTCTATAATTGTACTATCACTACTGGACAAAAAAAGTGCTGAGAATAAATTTTACTGATAATGTTTGATAATTACTGATACTGTGCTGTTCTTGCTGATAAATACTGATATTTACTGATAATTTTACTGTTGTTACTGATAATTTTAGTTGTTTCTGATAAATATTGGTAATTACTGTCGTCTTTACTGTTGAGTCTGATAAATACTGATAAATACTGTTGATGTGCTGTCGATGCTGAGATTTACTGATAATTACTGTGATCATTGCTCTTGAGCTGAGAAGGTGCTGAAATAGAGCTTAGGGTTGTAAAAACCTTCTTCAATCATTACTTTCTTTTTATCTAATTTTCACAACATGTTCATGTTTCTTTATATTTACTGATTGTGACAAAAAATATGACACTGATCTCGATTACAATACGGTTGTGAAAATCTTCAGAATAATATTAAAGTTAACTATTAAATAAAATCGTCAGCGTAAAGGCAAATGTTTTCCAAGAATCTATGAAAATAGTACATGTATGTCTGTAAGCAGAATAAATGGAATTTTACTTTTGCATGCAGATTTCATTTTAACATAAGTCACTAATTCTAAAACATTAAGGCTTTAAAAAAAGGATTGATAGCTCAAGAATTTTGGGTAAGGAGGTTGGTAAATTTTTTCATTAAAAAAACACTGAAGTGGAAAAACAAATTAATGGGTGGGGAAAATTCGGAATTAAAAAAATCCAGCAGAATAGAAAAATTTTGATTCAGACCTTTTTTTCACTCGGTCAAGATAGGACAAACAATGATTTTCTTTTTAAAGATGGCCTTACATGATAGCAATTTTTTTTATTCTTTCCCAAAGATATGCATAGTGGGTTTTTTTTTTTAATGCTCGGTCTTTCTGATCTTTTTCACCCTGAAAATCTACCCGAAACTGATAAATTTTATGGGTTTTTTTTAATATAAATTGAGTGATGAAAACAGAGGTGATCAAAAATTATTTGTCAGAATTATAGTGTAAGTGCAATGGTATACACGTGTACATGTAATTTTGATGTTGGTCTCTTACAATTTCACAAGTCACCACATAAAACATTTTTATTCAGTAAGTTTTAAAAATCTCATTCACTTAATTTAATTTTATGGAATGGAAAATAAGAAATGGGACCTACTACATGTAAATAATGGATGACTAAGTTGATCGATTTTAATATTGTAAGGTCGCAGATCTGAATGGAATACACGTTTAAATTGATGTGTATTGATCAGAAATCGAAGATTAACCCGTGATTTGGCTTTATTGTGTACATGTCTTAGGCACTGGGGCAAAACGGAGTACAACATGTATATTCCATGTAAGTTGTAGTGGTCAGTGTAGCAATGGGCACTAATCACCTATTGTTCTGCGTCTGCGGCCACCAGTGTTGACAATAAACAAATGAACCTACACTGTACATGTACTTGCTACTTGGAACAGGAACAATCTTTATGGACGCACAAAAAAATTAATATTTTTTATCGATTTTGTTGACAAATTAAATTGATAGAAAAATGTTTAGCAAAATAGGACACAGTACAAAATAAAAAAAAAAGAAAAGAAAAGAAATGAAGTTATATACATTGTACAAACTTATTAATTAAATGAAGTAACTTAAACATGTTAAAATAAAATAAATTTATTTTAATTCACGTAGATTTTTGCTCAGTATTTAATTTCATTTGCTAGTTTTACGTACATTTCTTCAGATAAAGTTTAAAGAATATCCGGGGGAGGGTGCTACGTGTAAATTCATTTGAATCTCTGTTAACAGTGTTTAGGGGCCTGTAAAACGGAGACGAGAAATTGATAAGGAAGATTTCGACTTTATCTAATAAATAATTATGCAAAATTTATACGAAATTTTTAAAAAAAAAAAAAAAAAGAGATGGTTTAGTGATTTAGCAATTTGTGTAATATTATTAGCATCAACTTTTCACAATTCAGAAACACAACTCCACATCGCTGAATTCGAGAAAAAAATCTGTTATGAATTATGAATGTCAGTAACATGCTGATCACACTCATGAATAAATGTTATTATAATAGTTGAAATTTGTATTATTCCTTGATTCTCTAAAATAATTTATTCATGTATATTATAGATATTAAGTAATTATTACATGTATAACTTATGGAACTTAGAACTAATTAAAAGAATCAACCTTGCGCCTATCAGCTTAGTTAACAGTTCTTTCATCCCCCCTTTTTTTCTGCTACAGTCTGAATAACTAATTGAATCATGTCACGTGTACTTTGAGTACATTGGTCTCGCACAACGAGAAATGGAATGGACAACAAATATTATACACTCTGTACAAGGTTATTTCTATTTTTACTAATTTTACTGAATGCATATCGTAAGAAATACAAAAGTACTTATATTTGACCCGATTCTCAAAACGAAAGTAGAAACTTCTGGTGAACATGTGAATATTTTACACAATGTTTTAGAACAACCGAGTAATATCAAGTTTTGTTTAATTTTGTTTTTTTTAACTGACTGACCGCGTTTAAGCAGGTTATTAATTTTTTTTAAATTGATCTAGCTGTTACCAGTAATTACGTACATCGTACTTACGAAGAAAGAAAGATGCGTATTTCATTGAATGAAAATCACACTGTATAAGATTTCTAGTTCCTGATGGCTTAGAAAAAAAACTCAACAACAACGAAAGATAGATAGCTTGATACCACAAAATGATATTTAAAAAAATGCGAGGAGGACATAAATTATAGAACTAGAACGCACTAGCCGCTAAAAGTGATAATTCAACAAATTTAAGATCATGATTAAATCTTATTATTTGAACCTGTCACATTCTTCATTAAAGGGCATAGTATACATGTATGTTATATGAAAAGATTTTTTGTGAGAAATATTCAATACTGCCTTGTTAAAAGGAGAATGGTTCGTAAAGGGGGGGGGGGGGGAGGTGGGAGGTATCAACTAACAGAGCAGACGGAACCCATGTTACTTGTCAAATATTCAGGTTCTCTACATGAAAATATAAATTTAATTCCATTGACTGTATTAAAGATGTGTCCTACAATTTTTAACGACAGTATAAATACACGCAGAAAGAATATGAGATGGGATTTTTAAAAAAAAACTTTGTGAATAAAAAATGTCTTATAAAGCACCTGCATGGGTAGAGTAACCACTGCATGAACACCTCCTCCCTTCAGATATTGACAACAAAGGAGAAATGTAAAGATAAAGAAAAAACATACACATTTATGATCTAATTTTAACATTAAGATGTAAAAAAAAAAAATAAAATAAAAATGAATAATGAAATGTGAAAACAAATAATTCATGTGACTTTTTCATTTAGAATTTAACTAGTAAGTAGATTGTAATGAATTTTGTTGATAAAATACTGTCTTTAAAATAATTCAATTAATCATCACTCAAGCTTTTTTAGCACCTTCTCAGCTCAAGAACAGTGACCACAGTAATTATCAGTAAATCTCAGCATCGACAGCACATCAACAGTATTTATCAGACTCAACAGTAAAGACGACAGTAATTATCAGTATTTATCAGAAACAACTAAAATTATCAGTAACAACAGTAAGAATAACAGTAAATATCAGTATTTATCAGCAAGAACAGCACAGTATCAGTAATTATCAAACATTATCAGAAAAATTTGGGATTCTCAGCACTTTTTTCTTACAGTAGTGAATTTTATATACCTGCAAATTATTTAAATGCAGTACAGTTTTAAGATTTTTTTTTAGAATGTGTAAAGAGAAAGTCTGACAAAAAGACATTTTATTTGAAAAAACTTGAATGTACTTAATTTTGAAATTTGGTATGGGTAACGAACAAACTGTACACATGAAGCATTGAAAAATAATATCATATTCTTGATAATCTAAGACACGCCAAACATAGGGTTTTTAAAATAACATTTTAAAGCTTTATAGATGCTTTAAAATGTGTGTGAAATGAGTCGAAACAATACATGTCTACATAGACAATCACATCAGCATTTTAAATGTATAAAAAGACATCATTGTCGTATGTATATATGGATGTAAAATCTCGTTCAATCCATTCAGGTCTTAGACATTATTACCGAATTTTGGAAAGATTGAAGAGGGATAAAAAATGTGTGTAGACATCAGTCTGATAATTTTCATATACATTCTTAGAGCATTCAATCGTTCACTCCTTTTAAGGTTTGATTATAACCATAATCTTTAATCTTCACACTACCGGATATGTATGTTTCAACATAAAGTTCTAAATGCATCATTTTAATGCTACAGACATTGCCAGGCTTTTACAGAGATAGTTTGTAATGAACAGTTTCTGTATTTACAGGTCAGACGACAACCACACATTGGTGGACATTCGTCATGATGTTTGTTACTTTTTCAATTTGTCTCTTTAACGTTCTGTATGATTTCTTATGAAAATAAATAATTTATCACTTTATTTTCTTCACATGAATTCATTTTCTTCAATGCCTATTTGTTTTGAAAGCTTTATAAATTCTTATAAGGAAATAAAACGAATAAAACAAGTTTGTATACGTCTAAAGTGTCATCCTTAAAATAAGGGTTGAAGTGCATGTGTCATCTCAGAGAATAATGTTATAACAGCAATATCATATAACAATATACAACAACAACAAAATCCTCAAGCTGTTCTTCAAGGAAATGAAACTTTCCTACTTTTCCATTCTGAGATTGTATCGTGTAAATTTATGAGTGTATTTTAATAATTGTATCCCATGTTGCAAAAGCTTCAGACAGATCAGTATATTTTCAAGAATATGGTCTATAACACAAACTCAGTGTACATTTGATGAGAGAATGTCAATATAATCAAAAAACTATTCCATAAACGTCATCTGGATTTCTTAGATAATCAATGTTCACATTTACGTCTTTTTTATAAAGATCTCCAAAAAGTCCCATTTTCCATCCATGTGTTATTTATATCTCCTTAAACAAAATGTCTTATAGGCTATTAAGTGAGATTTTTTTTTCTCTTAAGAGTGAAACATCGCCAATATTTATTTTTCAGGGGAGGGGATGATAAATTCCTTTAAGATTTTAAGATTAAAATTTATGCATGTAATTTAATTTTATTTGTCAAAATGAATTATACTGCTGAAAAGAAGGATAAAATGTGATGATAACAAACAGTTAACATTCTCAACAATACAATCAAACCAAACGAATTGGGAACAGAGGAAACGAACACCTCTGAACACATCAGAGGTGGGATTAAAATGTACTTGTCATGAAAGAGGAAGCATTCTTTATGACCGGTAAACTATTTCCATTTTTATAAGTAGTTAACCCTTAACCATGCCTATGATTATAACGAGTCTAAACTTTTTACCAAACCTTAAAATTTATATTCCCTCCGTCCAGCTCTCTGCCTCCTGGGTTGGGAGTTGATTATATAATAAAAATATTTTATATCTTTGATAATAATTGGATTACAGGAGATTTCAATGACCTTAAATAAAGTCAGCATTTCCTATATTCTATGGTCTTATTTTGACTGCCATATTTCATACATGTACCATCTGTTTTTAAACTTAATTTCAATATACCTTATTATAAGATAGGGTTTGATAGTGGGTTTGATAGGTCGACAGGGGGTGCTTTTTCCACGAAGGCACCAGATACCTACTCAGGAATTTCCAGGAATCCTTATTTTTATGCCCTCTTAATAGATTTGTATACTTTGCAATGGTTTTTTGGATATATCAACGTTTTCGTTACTCATAGACAACTAGAAAACAGCTATTTAAATAATTATACAAGGCTGAGCCCTCCAATAAAATTCTGATATTTTTTACCCCAAATTAAGGAATCGGACGCTTTTGAGACTGAGTTGATTTTACGTTGAAAGAACATAGCATCTTTGTTTTGAAGAACTTCATTACTCCTGTCCATGTAGTGGGGAATTTTTTTTCACAAATGTAATGAGCAGGTAGCCCTCACAAAATAATAAGTTATATTTTCCATTCCTATGGCCCATGATTTGGTAATTTAGACATAAATTGGAATTTATTTTACAGTGTCAATGTTTTAATCCTGACCCTGAACTACACAATACATGAACTCTAAACGTGAAAACTGATAATATTATAAACCTCTCATCAAACTAATTTTTGTCACATAAAAATCAGATATCAAATTCAGCTGGGGCTTATCTGATCAAAGTTTGTAAAACTCATAATACAATCATGTATTCAGGTCTTCGTTAAGTCCCATGTTCCTCTTGACATAATTACAATGAGACAAATTATAAATGAAACAATTTTATATGTAGAATATTCCATTTTAGCCTGATGTTGGCGTCGACGAAAAATATCTTATACTTTGTTAAACGTGCAAGGATTTAAGGGTTTTCTAAAAGTAGTCACATCCAATGACTGAATAACATCTAATTCTGTTTACAACGTGTTAATGTAATAAGATCGTTTTTATTGATATGAAATATATGAAGATAACGAACAGTATTCAAGCTGAGAGGTCCATTAATCAATACAAAATAGGAGCAGGGCAAACACGGACCTCCAAACATCAGAGGTGGGATCAGGTGCCATGGAGGAGTGAGCATCCCCTGCCGACCGGTCACACCCGCCGTGTGCTCCTTGTCATGATCCGGAAATAACAGAAAAATTTGTCGACAATTCAGTGTGTAAATAATGGCCTAACAATTAGTATGAAAAACGTCAGTCAGCATTTGACTCAATGATAGATTGTATTTGCTGACAAGGTCATTGTATCGACCATAGAACTAACGCAATGATGACTTTAAACGAGACAGCAGATATTCTTGTTTCATCAACTTATATGTCAATAATTTACCTCGTTTTAGAAATTGTACATACGTAGAGCATGCTCTTGTGTATCGAATCAACTGAGAGATATATACCCCGTATGCAGGTGATGAAGGTATATTGCTGCATAAGTAAGGGAAGTTGACGATTGAAAAGTTAAAGTCATCACGTTTATCATAAAGCTTTGTTGTTAGATTACCATTAACGTCTTTTTCAAGTAAAATATCCAAATATGAAACAGATCTGTCAGACTCTGTGGTATCTTTTATCTCAAGTTCACCAGGATATATCGTATCGACATAAGAATGGAAATAACCATTGTTAATTAACAATACGTCGTCGATATATCTAAATGTCGAGTTGAAGGCCACAGCAAGTGTTTTCTTCTTTTCACGTACAAGATTTTGGACAAATTCTGCTTCATATGAATACAAAAAAAGGTCTGCTAATAACGGGGCGCAATTAGTACCCATGGGAATTCCAATAGATTGTTGGAAGACCTGGTCTCCAAAATCCACATAGATATTGTCAATCAGAAACTCAAGCACCTTTTTAATGTCAACTTCAGAGTACTTGTGTATACAATCAGAATGTTTTTTAACAAAATAATTTTGCAAATGACCAATGACAACATAAGTATATTAACGAGTTCCATTTTTATTGAAAAAGCAGCTGTCAATGATATCAAAAAGCCTGGACTTTAGTTTATCGTGGGGAATGGTTGTGTATAAAGTTGAAAAGTCGTAAGTTTTTCAGCTGTTGATTTTGGTAAAATCTTGTGATTTCAAATTTTCCAAAAGTTCCTTGGAATTTTTTAGTATCCACATCTGATTTACACCACTTCTCGAATATATTGTTGCACAGTCCTCTTGAAATTTCTCCCTCACCACTGTTAATATCTTAGTGAGGAGTAAAGAAAGAGGCTTGGTTGAACATTTACTGGAACCCGCTATGTATCTTTGTTTGTAAGGATTTTTATGAAGTTTCGGAATCCAATATAAATATGGTAATTCAAATTCATTTTGGTTGTTTGGAATATTAAAAATATTCAAAACTGACATATGATTTTGAAGAATATTATGATTTATGTTTTACTGTTTTATTTGACTGTTATTAATTCAAAGATGGCAGAAGCAAATATTGGACAGAGGCTGGAGAATACTATAACTTTGATATTTCATTGAAATATGATGATAACGGATAGTAATCAACCTCAAAAGTTCATTGAAACAATACAGACTTGGAGACAGTAAACACGGACCTCTAAAAACATCAGAGGTTGGATCAGGTGCCATGCAGGAGTAAGCATCTCATGTCGACTGGTCACTCCCACCGTGTACTCCTTGTCATTATCGGCCAAACAGAAAAATCTGTAGACAATTCAGTGAAAATAATGGCCTGACAATTTGTGTGAAAAACGTCAGTCAAAATTCGTTTTAATGATGTATTGTATTTGATGTATCATGCATAATTGATGTGTTTTCGTTGAAAGAAGGGAGCATATGGATTTGCTTTTTGAAAGGTCAAAGATCAAAGTATTTCCTCTCAGTTAAAAACTTACGACAGATGTGACGGATGGAAAGAGGAAGAGATCGTTGATTCTATTGGAGTGGTTGAAGTGTTGAGGAAGTAATGTTTTGGGGGTTTTTAAACAAATGTTTGGATAAATTTCAAGATCATTTGGACTCTATTAATTGATATATTTACCTTGGATGTGCTGTATATGATTGTTATAATTATTTATTTTTATATTCTTTTTGCTGTCTGTCGTTCATCAAATGACCCACTTATTCCAATAATATCAAATATTTTATATTCTTATTACTCATATTTTGTCTTTCTTTTTTTCTGAACTATTTTGCTTGAGCGATTTCATAAAAAGACAAAAGATCACAATACATAGGCTTGAAAACTGATAATATTATAAACCTCTCATCAAACTAATTTTTTGTCACATAAAATCAGATATCCAATTCAGCTGGGGCTTACCTGATCAAAATTTATGAAACTCATAACAGGTCTTCACTAAGTTCCATGTTCCTCTAAACACAACTACAATGAGACAATTTATAAATGAAACAATTTCATAAGTAGAATATCCCATTTTAGCCTGATGTTAGCGTGGATGAAAATATCTTATGCTTTGTCATACGTGCAAAAACTTCAGGGTTTTCTAAAGGAAGTCACATTCAATGACTTAATTAAATTTAATTGTGTTTACACCGAGTTTATGAAATAATACCGTTTTTATTGAATTTTTAATTTATGATATCATTGTTTTATTGATTGTTATTGATTTGAAGAAGGCTTAAGCAGAGTATTGGACGGAGACTGGAAAATACAATAACTTTGATATTTCAGTGAAATATGAAAAAAATGGATAATTACCAAGCTCAAAAGTTCATAAAAACAAACGCAATTTGTAAACACGGACCTTTAAAAACATCAAACATGGGATCAGGTGCCATAAGGAGTGAGCATTTCATGTCGACTTCGACTGGTCACTCCAACCATGTACTCCATCATGATCAGCCAAATGGAAAGATGAAGAGATCGTTGATTCTATAGGGATCAGGGTTCAAGAGTGGAGGAATTAAAGTTTTTTTTTTTGTTTTCCCCCCCCCCCTTT